GACTTGAATCTGTTCCATTCATCTTTGAATGACTCATCGGGATTCTGAGTGAATGTAGCAATCTTTCTTCTCCATTCTTCAGCGCGTGACTCGTCAAAAAAAGTTATGCAGTAATGCGTTTTTGATGTCGCTCCAGGTTGTGAGAGAACCTGGTGGTAGTTTCCTTACCCACTGCAAAGCTTCTCCAGATAGAGAGTATTTGAAAAGCTTGCAGAGAAGATAGTCTTGAGGGACTCCATTGGCTTTGATGATGGTTATGAGATCCTCGAACCTCTCCAGATGGTCCATAGGATGCTCATGGGACAACCCACAAAAGGGTATTTGTCCTACAAGTGTGTAGTACTGCGGCTTAAGCTCGAAATCTCCTCTCTGAATGGCAGGAAGGCGGATGGCTGATCGGTTGGAATAGAATTGATCTGGACGGTTGTAGTCAGCCAAATTTCTAGCTTGGTTAGTCTCTTCTACAGGTTGAATGATGTCTGTAGGTGCAGTTTCTTGCTCAGGAATGATCTCCTTTTGAGCGTTCAGCTTCTGACCTGCTGCATTACGCAGGTGACCATGTTGATCACGCAAGTCTCCATTCCCATTGGTTGTGAGAATTATAGGCGCTACCATGTCTCGCTGGTTAGTATCGATCGATGTAAGATAAGGTATATCGATCGATGTCGGATGAAGGGTATCGGTCGACGAACGGTTGTTGATGTCGACCGATGTGGCGGTGAGAGTATCGGTCAACAAAGAAGGTGTCTCGGTCGACTGTGGTAGGCGAGTATCGGTCGACAAATAAGTATTGATGTCGATCGATGAGGAGCGTAGGTCTTTGCGGATGCTACGTTCCAAGCTTTGAGGGTCTTCTGAGTACACAAGTTGGTTGTTCTTGTTGCTTCTAGTACTGCTGGGCATGTACCTAAAAAAGACAAGAAAACAAAATTTTCGTGTCAGAAGATAAATAAACAATAAAAGAAAAATAACCTAGACCTAATCAGATTAAATCTAATGGCTTTCAAAGTTCTCCGGCAACGGCGCCTAATTTGATATCACTCAAATATTTAACCCTAAGGAGTGAATTACTCTCTCAAATAAGAGGTTCAGCTGTAGTACTTAGGGATCAAATCCACACGGAACTGAGGAACACACAAGATGTAATCCTAAGTGATTATGCTAGGTTGATTAAATTTAAAATAGTAAATTGCAGTTCTGAGCAATGATAATTTTCTCAAGAGAATAGGTTTTGGTTTAAGACAATAAAAGAAAGTAGTTAGATTCAAGGTTGTTATTCAGATAATCAGGATTATAATGCTACAAATGTTTTAGTAAGTTGCTTGCAAGATATATAAGAACTTCGATTCTTAGACAGATCTAATAGCAGTCGCTAAATAGACCCATCCATTGATCTTATTGCCGGCAATATCGATCAATGTTTTGACAGCGATATCGAACGATATGGGTTGCCGTCGATCGATGACTCTATAGGAGTATCGATCGATATAGCATAAGATCGAATCGAAACTGTGTTCACCAAGATCATAGACCGGCTCTCGCACATCCCTAGAGGATCTAAGCTTATGCCAAATGATTTCAGGATAATGATTAACAAGTTAAATCACTCCATGATCATACTCTAGTTAGCTACTCTAGAGTAAGCATTAGGGTTCATTTAGATAATGAATATCACAACTCAACATTCCATAGTTGGGGCCAATCCCTCATAACTATTTGAACCCTAAATCTAACAAAGGAATCTACTCAGACATGGCTAAGATATTCATAACAGCAAGGTAATAGTAGAAATTCATAAGATTAGAATATTGAACACTTGGTTCTTTGGAACAACAAATCTCTTTTTGTGTTTCTTCTAAATCTAAAATTCTATAACCTTTGAGAATTGAGATGAAAATAATACTTTATTGCTAAGTATAAAATAGTATCAAAAGCAAACAAAGCACAAGAAATCTTAAAACATTCAAAGCATTCAAAAGCATGCTTTGCCAAAAAACATAGGCATAACTATAAATATGAGTTCAATTAGGTTAAAAACTCGTCAGGGGCAATTTTGTAATATTGGGAAAACTTGGGCTTCAAGTCGGCCAAGTTAGACTTGTTCTCCACGCTTGATATCGATCAATGGTACATAGCGTACATCGATCGATGGAGTATCTCGACTTCATCTTCAATAGAAGCGTCATCGATCGATTACACATGATGTGTATCGATCGATATGTATCCTTGCTATCTGATCTTCATAGTCATCTCGGAAAACTCTCCTTTAAGCTCCATAGGGGCACGTAAATCATAACTTTACTCCAAAATGCTCCTGAACCTGAAAACATACCTAATAGACTCCAAAACATATATATAACTTATAAAAACATATCAATACCATGGCTAAAAGTGGGTCAAAATCATGATATATCAATATGCATCCCGATATCAGCTGCCCTAAAAATGCTTTATCTTTGGAGGGCATCGCACCTTCCAACAATATGCCTTCAATGGGCCGACCGCAGGTCCCAGCATTACTGGCGTTCTTTCATTATCTGGATAAATATGTTCCACTTGGTAGCCCGACCTCACCGTATATTTTCCCGTTATGTGTAAAATGCCATCCATCCCGATCTTCTATCTGAGTCCTACTCAATGGTATACTTTCTATTATTTTCGCATCTTGAGGATCCACCAAGGCCCTAATTTTCTGCGTATTCCAGCTCCGTGAGTTCGCGTTAATGAGCGAATCCACTGTGAGTGCCGGGTAAAGGTCATGTTGATTTTTGTTTCCTGGTCTCAGGCGAGTGGTTGGGAGCCAGGGATCATTCCATACAGAGATGGATGATCCTGATCCGACCCTTTTGATTAGTCTTTTGCTAACCAAAGATATAGCAGAAGTCATACTCCTCCAGCCATATGACGAACAATATGATCTTATCGGATCCAGGGGTGAAGCATTCCTGAAATACCGACCTTTGAAAACTCATGAAAACAAAGTGTGTGGTTTCTCAATAAGGCGCTACAATTGCTTTCCAAGCATAGCCGTGTTAAAGTCATTTAGTTCTTTAAATCCCAAACCTTCTTCATCCTTATCCAAACATAATTTATCCCATGATTTCCAGTGCATTCCTATCGTGCTCCCCCTTGGGCTCCACCAAAATTGAGCTGATGTCGTCGTCAGCTTCTTTGTGGTTGTCTTGGGTATACGGTAGCAATACATCATATGGTTTGGCAAAGCTGTGATCACTGATTTGATTATTACCTCCTTTCCATACTCCGTGAAGAACTTGAAAGTCCATCAATTGACCCTATTATTTAATCGGTCCTGAACAAATCCAAACACTTGTACCTAAGATCCTCTCAAACTTTTGGGTAATCCCAAATAGGATCCCCGTTCCTCCTACATTATGTATTCCTAAAATAACCCGCAATTCCTGGTGATTAACCTCCTCAATCTTATGCCTAAACTGGATCAATGACTTTTAGAAATTAATTAATTGGCCTGGTATTGTCTCGTATTCCTTCAGGATCCGGAGAGTGGTCCTACACTCATCTTCTTTTTACTTACAAAAAAAAAGGCTGTCATCTGCGAAAAGTAGGTGCGAGATCGGAGGACAAGCTCTAGCCACCTTCATCCTAGTTAAACTTTTCTGTCGCTCCGCCCTTTTCATATTTGATATTAATGCCTCCGTGCACATAATGAATAAGTATGGAGACAAGGGGTCCCCTTGTCTTAGGCCTCTGTGAGGGATAATATGCCCTCGTGGCTGCCCATTTATTAAAACCCGATACTGAACTGACGAGATGCACTCCATCATGAAGGTAATCCAGTGAGAGTCAAAACCCATCTTATGTAATAGTGCCCGAATGAACTCTCATTCCACCCTATCATATGGTTTACGCATGTCTGTTTTAATTGCCATGAACTTCCCTTGACAAGATTTGTTAGTTCTCAAACCATGGAAAATCTCCTGCGCTATCAGTATATTATCCGATATTATCCTCCCTGCCACAAAAGTCGATTGAGTTTCCAAAATAAGTCTTGGTGGTCAACTTTTCAGTCTCTGACATAACACCTTCAATATAATCTTATATTCAATATTACAAAGATTTATTGGCCAAATTTCTGTCATCCGTGTGAGTCTCTTCGTCTTCGGTATCATACAAATATGAGTAATATTCAATATCTCGTCCAGTACCCCTGTTTCCAAAAAATCATTTACCAGTTTCACCAAATCTTCTTTTATAATATGTCAGGAATGGTGGAAAAAAAGAGTTATCATTCCGTCGGGTCCTGAAGCCTCTTCCGGATGCATCATAAACAGTGTCTGCCTTACTTCTTCTTCTGTTGCTGATCGTATCAATCGTTGATTCATCTGAGCAGTGATAGACGAAGGAACCTCACCCAGAAAATTCTCAAAGTCCAAAAGAGAAGTAATCGTAAATAGGTTCTCAAAATAATCCACTACTACCTTCTCCACCCCCATTTTCCTTGTTATCCAAATTCCATCTTCATCATGGAACACCACTATACGGTTACGTACACGTCTTTGCTTTGTTAGTGCATGATAGAAATTAATTTATTTAATAATCAAAATGATATCTTATATATTAAAACAGAAGTCATGGTCTAAATTGGTTTTGCTATCTTGGTTTAATGTTTGGTGATGGGCTCGGTTTAAGGTGGCCTGTTAGCCTAAAAATTAAAGCCTTCCGTTTGTTTTTTTTGGGCTGTCGTCGAGGCCTTTCCTTTTAGGTTTTTTCTTCCAGGTGCTCCTCTTCCTCGTCTGTAGCGCCGCCGGAGGCAAATCGGGATTTTCGTAACCGTTCTCTTCTCCCATTAAACTCTTCTTTACTCCCACCTTATGAGCCTTGACCACGGTTACGCCCATTATTGCCTCTCTTCCACTCCCAAATAAAGTGTGTGTAGGTCGAGTATAATTAACCATGTATCCGGAGTTTTTCATCTTATTCCAAACGCTCACGAAGAACAGAACAGTCAGACGAATCACGCGATGGCGAACTCCTACACGCTCCTTACTGATTTGAAGGCCGGCCGGTGCTCAAACACGGCAGAGGTTCGACTTCTTCGGCTTTGGGAGGCGAGAAACGGCAGCAGAAACAGCAGACGTTCAGGGGAACTCATGAGCATTGACATGTTGTTTGTCGATGAAAATGTAAGGAGTCGGACGTTTTTTGTTTCTCTATTATTTTTTCTCTCTTACAATGATTTCATTCTCTGTGGATCTGTAACTGGTTTACACAAGGTTCTCGTCTCGATTTTATACTGATTTTTTAAAAAGCTTTACGAATAAGACGTGAATGATTTGTTTCTTATTTATGTCCACAGCTTTCCTTTCTTGAAGATTCGCAATATTTCTTTCCTATTGGAAAATATTCTTTTAGATTCTTTTATTTGTGGTTTTTGGTCTTAATTTACTGTTTTTGAAAAAAATTACCAAACAGACGACGATGATGCAAGCAACCATTGTTGCGGCTCGACAGCGGCGATTCCGGCAGTTCCTAAAAGAAGGTTCTGTCTACAGCCTAACTGGATTTGATGTGGCTCGCAGCAACACAAAATACCGTCTTTCTGATGCGGCCATCTCAATACGGTTCAATGATGGAACTCTGTTAGCGAAGATTGAGTCCACCGACCGAACCATACCAATGGAGATTTTTCGATTTCGACCCTACAACACCATACTTGGGTTAGGCAACCGTGGTGAAGATCTCCCAGGTTGATTTCAACGATTATATATTTTTTCCCTCGTTTCCATGCGTTGGTTTTAAGAATTTTTTTTTCTTCAATTAAAAACAGATGTTTTGGGAGAGCTGAGTGCGATTAAGAGCACCATCACGGATGGTATACCAGGGGCACAACGTGTGACTTCATGTGTGATTTTTTAAAAATGAATTATTACTAGAAAGTTATGTTACATTAACTCTTTAATAATCTTATCATTATTATATCTTATGAAAAATCATATCTATAATAACAAAGATACGCTTAACAATTTGGTTTTGGTAAATTACCCCACACTTTCCAACTTAGTCACGCAAAATATGTCAATAGATATAACTTTAGGAATCTTCTATTATTTATAAGGAAATATGTCAATAATAGTTAAATGCATTCACAATATATTAACAAAAATCACAGATTAGTAATATGGAATATTTATATACCCTAACAAAATTTACAAGCTATATATATTAGATAAATTATTGTGATTAAATATTAGTAAAAAAAAGAAATTGTTTAAAAAATTCTTTTTTATAAAATTCTTTTTAATTTTAATTTATGAAGCTATAAATTTAGTTTTTAGCAAAAATTTCTTGGAAGTTTATATTATTTTTGCAAATTAAAATATACTAATATTTAATCAAGCTATATTTATATTACTTTATCTAAAATTGAAATGATATAGATAGATATTTCCAACATATTAAGAAATACTCGAATTATTGAATTTTATTACCTACACATCCACTAGAGTAAATACTAAACGGATCATTAAGCTTAACAACCCCAAAATAAAAGTGATAGCCCATTGAACGAGCAATGATTGGGTTAGCCTAGATTGGTACAAGCCTACGACACACAGAAAATGACCCAACGAACTCCCTCCAAGCATGTAGTATATTATACATTTAATGACTCCACCACTATACTCATATGTTGAATCTTAGTAAAATATACTAAAATCAGGATCAAAATGTATATTAAAAACCTAGTATAAGAATTAATTTAAATCAGAAATTAAACATAAAATGACATTAGATGTCAAACAGAGAAAAGTATTATGGGCTCTGATTGGTAATCACAAAATGGCAGAATCGCTTTATAGACGCGATTACGCAAATATTTTATCAATCATGAATCATGAAAATGTTGCAGAATGGAAAAAAAATGCCAAAACGCAAACTTGTGTTTTTGTGGACAAAAATATGAAAAATGTTCATGAAGTGTAAATGTGAGTTTTAGTTGATTATTGACAAAATCCAAATTTTCATACCATTTTAAAATTTTAATAAATAGTAATAAAAATTGTAATGATAATAGTTATGTTGTAAATAAAATATACTATAAATATTTTATAATATTATAAAATGTCAAACTATTATTAAAACATATTCATAATAATCTAACTATTTGTAATACAAAGTAAAGTATTTTAAAGAAATTTTAGTTATTTTCAAATTTCATAGTAATTAGTTTAATTATTGATATTTATTTTTCATTTAATAAAAATATTTAATCATTCTAGTATGTATTCCGTCATTCCGCAAATTTTAAAATTTTCCCTTTTTTTCTACAGCTGAACGATTTTTTTCATGATTCCGCGATTAATCGATGTTTACCAACCGGATCCATAATTTATGTACATTTAGGGTGTGACCAGGGCTGGCTCAAGATAAACATGGACCCTCGGGCAAAATAAGTTGGAATTTTTTCTTACATATTAAATGGATAATTTCAAAAATTTGGGCCCTATTTCTAATTTATTTTCTCAAAACTGGATGCCTATTTCATCTTAATTTTGAAAATAAGCTTTGGGCCCTGGGTCCATGCCCCCTTGTCCCATGCCCTTAGCCGGCCCCTGGGTGTGACTGGATATCTACTATAGATTGTAGAGTAAAATTATGGGATAAAAAATTATGGTTACTATAGTTCCCACTACTTTTATCAAACATGTGGATAAATGGAAAACAAACGTTACATTCATTATCACTAGGAATAATAATCATTGATGTTTTGTTTTATTTTTCTTTACCTTTAACTTCTCTACCATCACTCAAAGTTCTGTACTTTTAGGCAATCTCGGTAAGACAGTAGCATCAAGTTCGTATCGATTCATCATTGACGACATGATTACAACTATTATCACTACTCTGTCCAATCATGTTTGTTGGATCTTTTTCTGTCTAGATTCAATGAATCTCGCTGGTCAGTAAATTTGGAGCTGTTGTGGTGGCACACTTCAAAAGTGAGAAAGTAAAAGAAGATTGTCTACTCTCTTTTCAAAACGTCACAAACATATCATCTTCCTCGATTATTTCAATATTTATGAATAAGTTAGTTTATTTAAACCAAAATCTAAATAGGCAGATTTTTTTTTTAAAAACATAAAATATCAGGTACCTAACTAATCTAGTGCCTGCCTTCAATTATGGTACTACTTAAAGTTTTTTTTGTAGTACGTGAGTAGATTTGCCCACTAGAGAAAATAAATCACATGATCGATGAACACTTACCTATCAACTTGTTTTCAAACTCCTCTTTTTCCGATACAAATAAAGTTTTCATCACTTATTTTCGATCCAGAAAGAGGCATAATAAAGCCATAAATTAATCACCAAAAAATATTTATGTTGCGAATGATTTTTAACGTGGGGACCCAAAAACGTGGGTCGGAGAGAGCTAGCCAAATCTCTTTGGTAACGTGTCTTTATTGACTCTCGCATCTATCTATCATTTTGTCATCGTTCATTAACTTTTTTTGTTTGTTTGGAATCATCGTTGTCCATATCGATTTACTAAAAAATAAACTTTACATTCGCGATTGAAAATTGAAGTTCAAGGATAAGGACACCGACGAAAATAAAAGGCTTTACACAACCATAAACGCAAAAAGTGTTTACACTTTACAGCCAAAGATTGGATTTGCTGTAACTCTGTCTAATCTCAAGTATCGAACAACTGCACGCAGATCAAAATTCATAATTCTCAACCCACGACCGCTAATTGATTGCTCGCCCAAACTATATTTATATGATTTAAACGCTATTGAAGTGCGCATAAAAAGTGTCAATAGTAAAATGAGATATCAAAACTCAAAACAAAAATTGGTAGGTTGAACAATTATTGCTACCAATTTTTGGGGATTAAACGGATAAGATCGTGAGATTTGACCATAGTTCAGCATGTTTAGGAGTATCCAATGCGATATGATAGCTTTAATGAGCTGGAAGTCTAATTTTTTTTTTTCTGATAACTACTAACATACTCATATATGGTTAGTGGTTTCGAATCAAGTGCATCTATTTATAACTTATGACTTTATAGTCAGATAACGTGGTGGATTCTAACTAGTATGTCAATATATAAGACATAAAGTTATAACAGGTTATAGTAGTATTACTATTTAAAACAGTATTGTTGTTTGGGTTCTTTAATGTATGGTTGGTCGTTGGATAAAAATTACATTTTTAAAACGAAAATCTAACTAGTAAAGGTAATGTGTTTATAACTAAACATTAAGTTTTTTTTTTTTGTAATACAACTAATTTGTATAGAGAGTCATTTGTATAACAACTCCATAAGATCATTCTATTGTAATGAGATGGACCATTTGATATCATGATTTACATTTTGTTGCCAATAAGAGGGCATTCAATAGGTTTACCGAAGAAAAGTAGCATTCAATATTATAGTTCATCCGTACGAAAATACGAATCATTCGTTGGCCTTGGCCTTTTTATATTCAATCTTCAAATATTTCATAACTGAAACTAAGTAGCATAAAAAAAAACTAAATAGCCTGGCTGTTTTTTTCTCTTGAACCACAAGTAGCCTAATTAAATATTTGAAGGATTTTTAGTTAAGTTTTAAAATTTTATCAAAAAAAATATATTTGAAAGACTAGCTATTAAGGATAATTCTATTTTTTTTTGTCAAACGATTATTCCATTACTTAAACTTGAGGTGGTCTCGAAAATCAGACCGGAATAATCAATCAATGAAGTACATATTCCTGTGAAAGGATCTGACTATCTTAACTAATGAATCAGATGATACATTTTCAGAACGAGGAATAAAAACAAGCAAGAACTCCGTGAATCTACTTTTCAGCTTCGTCATCTCCTCTAACTCAGTGGAAAAATTAAACCATGCTACGGGGTCTTGAATCATCGAGACTAGATCCTTACAACCGGTATCAAAAACCTGACACGTCGATAGCTGTAGTGTGCACTCCACTTCCCATAAGAGGGCCTCAAGTTCCGAGTGAAGTGGTGAGATTCTTCGTGGTTGGTTTCTGGCTCCCATCAGTTGTGTTACTCCTCGTGAGTTTGTTCATGTCCATCCATAGTCACTAAATAGTGAGTCATGGATCCATGATCCATCTACCATGCATCTCTCAGAGGCTTGTGCTTGTTCTGGGTGTTGTGTTTCTGCTGGTTCTTCCTCTCTACGGTTGGCTTCAAAGCATGACAGTCTGACTGAACATATCATACAATTTCCAATGGATCCCAATCGATCCCTGGAAGTAGTTTATCATTTCTTGCTTTCCAAATGTACCATATAATCCACGGGTATAGAACTCTATCCAGGTCAGGATTTTCGATATCGTTATTTTGCCATAATAGATAGTCCATATTTGTGTGGCTTGCGTTGGGGAACACTAATGTCAAAGTTGGGGTTGCTGCAAGTTCCTAAGTCTGTTGAGTTGGGGGCATTAAAAATGGCATGATTTATAGTTTCATCCTCTGTGGCACATTTAGGACAATGGTTATTGAATCGCATACGACGATGTGTCAAGTTGCTTATCACCTCTAATTTTCTAGATATCAATTGCCAAATATGATGATGTTTGATTTTTGGCGGAGCTTGTATCTTCTAAGAAAAGGCTTGGAATTTTGTGATACTAGGTTCTATCTGTGTCTGTAGCATATCCTTGTTAAGTAGATTCATGGCTACCCAGTAGCCTGAATTAGAAGTGTACTTTCCATTCTTTACATAG